CGCTATCATAATATCAGTAATATTTTACAAACTCTCACCACATAGTGGTATAATATAGCGACTATTTTATAATGTACAACAGTACATTTAAACTTGTAAAAATTTATCGCACCATTTATGAAAACCTTTATCATGGATCTAGGATTTATTTAAGACATCATTCCCTTCTTCATTCTCAAATTAAAACCATTTTACACTTGTGATTTGTGTTCACTGACTTTGCCTTATGTGAACTTAATCGTGGTATTCAGTGGATTATCAGAAAATCTTAATATCGGGTGTAGTTGCCTGAATTGGACCATTTATTGAATTTTTAATTTTCATATTCTCGATAATGATTAATCGAAAACAAAATATTTATTTAAATAGACAATATAATTTGCAACTCTTATAAACGAGTATAATTTATTAATTGTATTGTTGTTTATAAAGATAAATGAAAAACAATGTGTAATTAATATTATTTGGAACCTCGAGGACATAACTCATAGTTGTATTAGTCGAAATAAATGGCAAATATTTAAGAACTATAGGACATTCCTGTTATTTTATCTGTAACATTTAAGATCCCATATTTTAGTCAAGTTGTTTAATATGATCACTTCTCTGAATTTATTGTATTTCATTCGTCTCGCTTTGTTTAGAACGCCGAATACTTCTCTTTCGCAAAAAAGCAGATTTCGTAATGTGTCACCAGAACCTATCCACGATAATCCTCCAAATAATTGTTAGAAAAGATAAATCGTCACCACCCTAAACTGATTGTGCACTTAAAACAAAGAAAAAATGAATAGGATATATTGTTACCGAAGTTATCAGCACAAGCCCCAAAATACAGGATTTGCGCTTTAACAGCACAATTAAAAAGCGATGAAGCACGTTGTTCCAGCGGGTTGTTTTACTTTTGCTTCTTTGATCCACTTACGTTAATGTAAGACAAATACATGCCAAGTTATCAGTGATGTATTCTGATAAGAATTAAAAACGATCAATTGTATTAATCATTAGAAAGAGAGAATCTGAACACGGTCCATATTGTGACAAGAAGTATACACATTCAGCATATTTCATAATTGATGCAAGATAATGTCCGATACGATAAGTAAAATATAAATATCTAAGTCATTCTAGGCAGTGGAATGTTATGAGGAATATTTACCAGGCTAAAATATCAAAAGTGAAAAAGTCATCTTAATACACTTATGAAGTCAAGAGTGTGTATCAAGTTGCTTGACTCTAACAAGAAAAAACATTAAAATCACCTTTATTGCGAGTTACCTATCGTAAGTTACAAAATGTTTGCTGAATCTGCAAAACTCATCAAAGATGTGTACAGTACTTGCTCCATCCTCTGTTTTACTACATTTATGATCATATTTATGTATCATTCATATCTAGACGATGTGGTGTATGTATGTAGTATGTATGTATGTATGTATGTGTGTATGTATGTGACGTACCTGGAAACGGTACTCTCACGACAAATAAAAATATAAAGGACGGGTACATTCTCGCGAATGCGCTTCCAGGGTTTGACGCTGCATTGGAAGAATGATCGAAGAAACTCTTTTGTGCAATTAAAAGTTTAATGATTGAAACATTATGTACAAACATTCTTACAATACGCAGGCGCCAAGCCGTTAATGATATCGTGCCCAAGTAACGCTACCTTGAGGCTTTCGATATCACCGGCTGGTGCCGGCGAGCGGGCCGCCCGTGCAACGGCGGGGCGTGTTCGCCAAACTTCGGTCCGCCCCGAAGTTTGTCGGGAAATCGCTCTCCTCGGCGGTCGACTCCGCTGAGCCCCGATGCAATGCCAACGCGCTCGCTGGTCAACCCCCCCAGCAGTACAAGCAATATCACATATCTTAACATGCACAACGCGCAATTGCGTCCCGTCGGCAGTTCCATCAACAGCAGTTCTTCTCAATCCCACTCGAATGTTCGCACGGTGCGGCCCCTGCTGCATCACACCCGGGCGGACATGGAACGGTCTCTGCGCCACTCAAACTCCAGTATTAATGTTCACTGATCCGCGTCCTGGGCGCACTTCCATTTCTCCATTAATACCTGATTATCAATTTTTATCAACTCTAATCTCCCACTTAATGGCTACAATCAATTCCACACTGTTGTAATATCACTATAACTTGCTTGGGCAGCACAGGCCGTCCGTGTGCGCTCGCGGCCTCCTTGCCTATACTCTCCCAACCGTCACTCGCTCGCCCGTCTACCCCCATTTGACCGTTGGTGCAGCGGTGGCGGCCGCGGCGTTTACGTACCTGATCGATTTAGGCTTCTTTTAACTATAATTGAATCAATTTTGATTGTTACTATGCAGAAACGTTCCTCGTTTCATGTATGCATAAAGTATTAGTTATCATATATACTTTATACTGACTATATAGTTACCTAGTATTTACTATATATATATATATATATATATATATTCATAAATGTACTACCATGATACGACCCATTCCAAAAACATTTATTTTCCGCTTAAGCGGGCATAATAAAATTAAATTCGTCCTGAAATACGCGCTGGTGGTAGGGACAAATTAAATAAGTCGATTGAGTTTTTCCCTGTTTTTTTTTTTCTGAAAAGGGCGCGCCCTAGAACCCTTACAGAGCAGCGGCCATTGCTCCTCAGCCATTGACTTCTTTTCTGGATGAGCAATGGTGCTGTCGCCTTCGTAGCAAACCCCGTGACGCTACCTCTTGTTAATGCTAGCAATTAAGTGATAGTTTTTACGACCCCGGTTATTTTCCGCCTTTTTAATCGGACCCTCCCAAGGGACGCGGTGAACCGAATGAAGAGGTTGGTTTTCGACCGCAAAATTCAAATATCTCACATTTTCCAATTTCGTGATTTATGTTCTTAATTCCACAGAATTATGATAATGTCGCATTATACACGAGATGTTTTTTCTCTACCGGGATCCTCAAAAGCCTCAGAATTGCACTAAAGATTGCCGTAATGCGCACCAAAACATCTTTATGCAGGAATAAATACGGCACAACCAATTTTCAGTATTTTTCTATAATATTATAATATTGAAGTAAAAAATGTTAACAGGAAAAGGGAAGCACACAATTTCTAGGATTCACCCCTCATATTACTTGGTATTTTATTTCTCACGCATCACACATATAACTCAGAGCGGAGGCAACATATACGTACACACAGCACTACTTCTTGCAAACCGCTAAGACGGCTGTACTTTGAATTGGAATAGCAGGCGTGCTTCTCCTCTTGCATATTTTAATTTTATATTAAATACTTCAACATTTGTTTTCCGAACTTCTCTTACTGACTATATTCACGTTTCATCAGAAACAAAGTGAACTTGTCGTACTGCTTTGAAATGGTAAGAACTTTCTCTATTTCAATTACATTCCTCCTCGTTTATTGATGCTAATAAGGTGGCGATGGCTTGACAGATGACGGTTGGGCATGTGGTCACAAGAAAGCACCATCACATGGACTAGATGTAGTCCTGAAATTTCGATGCGGGTTTTCATCTGTTTCGTAGAGCTTAAGTCTGGTGACAAAATAAAACCGCCCGGTGGTGGCCCAAACTGCAATCAGATATCAAATTTCCGAGAAGTTGTTTTCGAAATTCTAAATTTTCAGCAACATACTGCATTCATTTTGTAACGACAAAGCATGCAAATATTAATTAATATATTCATTCCAAGAATTACTTTCATTATTAAAATCTTGTTGCAGTTCGGCTGAACCAAGAGTCATTGTTTTAATTACAATAAGAACTTTCTTGAAACACATATTTTGTTGACAGATAAATCAAATGAAAAAAGTCTTGTATTTTTACACAAAAACGTGGACATTTTTTACTTCAAGCAAACCATTAGTAAACTATACCATGTTCATTAGCAGTGTTACTGAATTCATTTATTGCTTCATTGAGCGACATTTTTCCCAAACGTATTCGTATTATTTAAAAACATAATGCAGAACAGAAATACAAGAAAATAATAAGAAATACGAGGTAATAAAAAAGAGCACGCAACGCAGCTACAATCAATATCAAATCGTGAGCGTTGCACTGTCCTTTTTTCGAGTACCTACGGTCCTTCACATGCTAGCGCTGCATCGACTCAGGCACAAAGGCGTATCCCGACCTAAAAAAGACGACGGAAATTTGAATGGGGAGGTCGGACCGTAGACAACTTAAAACACGATGTGAAGTAAAATATCTAATCTCTAAAACGGCGATCTTCTGTACGGGGTTAAAATACAACATTTCGACAGTTAGCGTCGTCACGTATTGGACAATGGACGAATTATTTAACCACATCAAAAGCGAATACCACATTTTAAAAGCGCCAACTGTCCAATTTTTACTGCTGAATAATTGAATTGAATTTATGCCTTATTTTACGTGGCGAGACTCAAACCATGAGGCCTGCTCTTCCGTCTGACCATGCAAATTTCGCTACGCTCCTGTCACCAGCTAGCAGACAAAGAGGTTATTTCTTGGGCGAGAAACAGGCGATTTGAATTTAGCTCAGAGGCGTCATTTATGCTTGAGGATCTTTTACGTGCAAGTAAATCTTCTTACATGGGACAGCCGGCTTTACTTCCTCTCCGAAGGAGTTTTTCGCCCTTACAAATCCACGCTTTGATCGGATTTGAACCCGCCAACTTGGGTACAACAGTCCGATACGCTAACCGTTACACCATCGCCGCGTGCTAGATGCTATACACTGTTAGATATTACGTCGCCTCTTTGTATAATGCAAAGGAAATATGACGGGTTTTTTGATTTGATGAGAAAGCACAGATCCAAAATTCATTAAGTGTATTAGTATTGATGGTTGGGGAATTTCACCTCTAGGCTTACACCAAACATATTAAAAAGAATAACAACTTCTCAGATCATCCTCAAGGGACCTTGTAGTCGGTGCCGGATCTCACAATTCGAGGGAAGATAACTCCCACCTCCCCACGAAAAAAAACATGCGCTACACTTACGGGACCAATGATCTTAGCAATGTTAATTCCAGAAATCACTAATAATTCAATCAATAAATTCATTCCTCTTACTTGGCTATTGACGGGAATCGGGGAGAGATATCTCACGCTTACGATTACTCTCTTTAGCACGCATACAGACCTTCGCAATGTACGGTCTGCTAGCGTCAAGGACTCTTACTATTTGGATGCGCCGCGCACAAGAGAATCTCATGTACGGGAACTTCCTTTGAAGAGAAAAAAAAAACACATTTATTTTCAAATGTGATGAATTAAAAGTGGTTTTGTACAATCTAATATTTCAATTGTTGTTACAATACAGAATCCATAGAGTTCGCTTTTTATTGTATAATATGTCCTGTATTGATGCTATGGTTTTTCGTGTGTTAAATTGATTATCATTAAGTAGGTCTATTTGATGATTCCAGCTGCACCAGAATGATAATATAGCAAGCCACGCCCTGGGCTATGGAGCAGATCAATGAAAGATCCAAAGAAAACACTCCACAAGCACTGAAATGCACTGTCGTTGCTTTTCGCATCATTTGTGAAGTGACGAAGCGCACCTCGCGGCAGTCGAATGAACCAACGCCGTGGACGTCCTCTGCGTGTACCTGCAGGCGTTGCAAGGTGTTCACAGTGCGTCGGATTTCTTTGATAACGGCGCTGCATGATATCGCCAGGGTAACCACCTGCAAATAACGTTTACTTTGAAATATTTGTACTCATTTTTAAAGATTTACTAATAAATGCCATCTATCGGCGCCTAATGTACATTTTTTGAGCAATCTTCTTAAATTTCGGTTTCATAATAGAAGAACGGAAATATTATTTTAAGAAAATTAAAGAACAGTAAAATGCTACTGTCAATTCGAAATTTGAAGCTGTTCTTCATAGAATTTTTTTGAGTTTTCGAAAAAATTCATTTAAAATAATTTAATAAACTTTAACCAAAAGATTTAGTTTTCACAAATTGCTCGCAATGAGCATATTAACGAAGTGAGAGATATTTTAAAAAAGCTTCGTATTTGTAAGTTTTGAAAAATCAAAAATGTACCCCGTAATGAACTTTATATTAATGAGTGCAATTAGCACTATCCTTTCTAAAAGTTTGATGAGTAAATTTGTAGCAGTTTTTCAGAAAATGGCGATTGATAGTTTCTGAAAATACGGAATTCTGAACTAGTTTTCACACAAAACAGTTGAGTTTTTGAGAAACTTTATATGACGTTATTTGAAACTCTTGTACTCATAAGTATATTCAAATGAACAAATAGCCCCGTGTAAATATAAACAACGTGAGAGAAAAGGCAATAGTTTACATTTTTTCTAATTTTTAAAGAAACAAAAGAATAGAGCAATATGGCGCTTTTGACATCTTATAAAGTGTATGTAGCAAAATCCCTACCAGAAACGTTGAAGCGGTTTTTCAGAAAACTTGTTTATGTAACATGTTTTAAAATTGCGCATATTGCTCCCAATATTGCGTGAATACTACTAAAATTTTCAAAAAAATGTACACGACCTTAAAGAAAGAACTCACTATGGGCAACATATTTCTATTGAAAGAAAAATCTTGATCTTCAATATTGTAGTTGTAGAAAGATGCCGAATAAAATTCAGTCTTTTACAATTTTAGAAAATTCAGAGTTTTTAGTGAAAATCGGACCTATTCCTCCTTGATAAGAGTATTTTACTCTATTTTTACAAGAAATTAAAGAAACAAATTTGGAGCCATTTAAAAAAAATTGAAAATGAATTCATGTTAGGTACCCCCAAATTTTAAAGAATGGTTTTCAAAATCTTAAAGATTTGACTCGAGACAGATGGTCAGGGTTTTCCTCAATTTGGAAAACATTCTACTCATGGCTTAGGCGCTAGTAGTGTTCAGACGGACGGACGGGCAGACGGACGTTTTGTCGAAAGTTGGACGTGATTCGAGTGTGTCGAGGGTCGGACGTTTTGAAGAAACAACACTTTTTCGGTATCTAGGGACTCCAAAACGTGTATTTCCGTTGAAATCTTCAAATCAATTTGTCACAGCATTACATAACTTTCTCTATACTACATATATTACTGCATATATACGTACCTATACGGGAAAGTAAAAAGTAGCCGATTTTGCGTAAATATTGAAATGGATGGAAAATGAAAACTTTGGATCAAAACTGTATCATAGAACTGCTAAAAAAGAGAAAACAATAATGGCGTTATGCGCAATTTGACATGGAAATGTACATAAAATACATTTAATGTAGTAGAGAGGGCAAAACTGCTGTTATGTAAAATTTAATGGGGAGCAGATACAACTTTTGTTAAATTTTGGGGTCGCATAAAATGGTTTATACATTATGGAACCGTTCAAGTATTATTTAGCAATGAAAATTGAAAAACAATTATAAATTTAGAAACCAAGTCAGTGATTTCAATGTTCCTATCTCATATCAATTTGAACACTCCCGCAAGAACGTGGTAACCGACAACCCTCACCTGGGACCGGAATTACTTTTTATTTGTAACCTCAAACTTTTAAGGCTTTCTTAAAAGTGTCATTTTATGACAAATCTCCAGCCGCGGCCTGATTAACAGAAAACATTTTTGACTCTGTTCAACAATTTCCAACACGTTTTATTCCAAACACTTTTAAGTCACATTTGACGCTTTGCTATGCTTGTCAAAGTTCTTAACAAGAATCCGTACTTCAACCTAAGTATTTTATCATTGAATATTATTCAATCTATTCAGTGTATTTTACGCTAGAATACGTCTTTAACAAATTAAAATATGCAATACTCATTTGATCTGCCAACGAATATCATTGAGCTTTATACATTTTTCGCTTTCGTTCATCGATCGTTCGCGACAGTCGAAGTCGATTTGATACAACAAGGGATAGTACCAGATTTGAACAGAAAACAATTTCAACTCTGTACACGTAGGCTTCCGCGGCTCGAGTTCATGACTTCTTGGCTGTCCGGGTGACGCCGCGTCGTTGGCAGAGAGGCCGACTTTTCGCCTGTCATGTCGCAGGCTTCTTCAGGGTAGTGAGGTTTATTCAGGGTTATCACTACCCTTTAGAAGCCTGCGATATGATAGGCGAAAAGTCGGCCTCTGCCAACGACGCGACGTCACCCGGACAGCCTAGAAGTCAATTTCAACCCTGCTATCTGGGGATAACGCAAGCGCTTGCTACAATGGTATTGATTCCTGATGACTTCTGATTGTTTAAATAAGTGCCAAGAAGCTTTTTACTTACCAATCCTATCCAAAACGCCGACCAAATCCATCGATGTACAGCAACTGCTACCTTGCTATTGTTTATATATTTTCCTGCTGTCATTGTAACTAACGCTGTATAGAAATCAAACGTTATTGTACAGAATAACTTGACAAACGAGCACATAATTTGAGCCTCGTAGGCATTGTTCACGTGCTCAACAGCATCGCAAACGGCGAAAAATGCATGACGTAATGGGTAAAGTGCACGAGCTAAACTTCTGTGTGGTTTTCCGACTTCCAGTTCCTGTAGCTTACAATTCAGATTCTTTAAGCGTAATTTAGTTGAGATAACAAGAACTGAAAATTCTGTGAACACAGCAGGTATTGCAGAAGAGAATAGAAGAAAACCAAAGAAATTCAGTATTCTGTCTACGCTATAATCTTCGTAGATGTAAAGCGAATATAAATGCAGTGAAAACATTATAACAATGAATAAACATCCTACTAAAATAGTATAATTTCGGAACGATTTATAAAAATATTTTGGAAACTCTAAAATGATATCGTCTGCTATTCTTATTACTCTAAAATACGATTTCATATTTTCTCGATATTTTGCTGAAAGTGTCATTATTAAATTAAACAAATTGCATAAAAGAGTGGATGTCCAAAGTAACAATCCACAAATGTACGCTGTGTTGTTAAGATTCCCATAATATGCATCAAAAGCGTACTTGAGAACATGGTGAAAAGCTATACACTGCAACACAAACATGAACATATTGTAAAGTATTTGAAAGAAGTTTAACTTTGCATCGAATTCTGAAGACGTTTTACATGCGTTAAGTGGCGCAAATCCTTGCACAGTATTGATGAATAAAAATGGTTTCATTCCTTCAAGAAAAGAATCAGGATTGCTAGAACACCAGGCCGTCATCCTCGAACTTCCAGGGAAAAGCAACCAAATTCTGTAGAACAATTCACAAATTTCAGAATCACTTTCTATTCAAATAACACTACAATGAATAATCGAGAAGACTTATGTGTATGTAAGATTGTAAAAGCGAATGCACAGCCTCTGAAAATGTTTCTTAAATATTTAAAAAGTTTATAACTGATATTATTTTCTTTCATATTCCATTAAGTGAGTCTTTGAAGACAAGACCGAAAAGTAAACTAAGAAGTGCAGTGGTAATGAAGGTAAGAATTTAACAAAAACTTATAAACACACATTTAATTGTATGCAACGCATATTTGTGATTTTTGTTATTTTAATATTTCATAATCAACATTTGTAATATTGTATGTAAATTTTATCGTTCGATACGTGCAAAATAAATATCCATGGTTTAAAAAAAAATTAAATCATAATGAAAGAATGAGAACGACGTATTCAATATAATAACCACGCTGGTAAAATTGTAAGTTAATAAAAAATACATGACAATGGAATTATTTTAAGTTTTACTTTTCTTAGTTCTTCCTTGTACGTGCATACCTTTTGAAGTGAATCCACGAAAAAACAGAACCAAATGGATACATTTGATCAACTTTCCTTTGAGGGAGAAACAAACTATGAGTAAATATTCCCGATTTAGGATATCAAATATTACATTATGTAACTAAAAACTCATTAAGTTGAATACAAAAGTAATCACTCATAACAGAATATTTTCAATTACACATTACTGATATTAGTGCAATGCTCATAAACAGAAATGAAGATCGATTGTCCACAAGTAATCATCACATAATGATCTAAATTATAAACCAAACACGTTTAGAAAGTGGCACAACTAAATGAACGTGTTTTTGTGCTGTGAAGAGGACAGAAATAGACGTTAGAAGAAAGATATCACGCAACAAGTTTTCAGAATAGCTGTGTTTACTTTCGCTTACTACAGAAACTACTGGATCTTTCATCTTAAGAAACAAATATTTTTCAAAATTCAATTCCATTAGGCAGACGCAAGTCCATTATAATGATTTGAACGTTTCTTATTTATGATCAATGTATAAAAGTACAAAATAATTAAAATCGATTTTGAAATATATAAATGTTTTTAAATGGAGCGAATACATTCCAATTTTTTTAGCGTTTTAATCCACCAGTGCTATTGATTTTGTTTGGGACAAAAAGTTATTGCTGAGGAAGTATTACATGTTTTTCTAATATTTATACTTGTAGGTGCGTTTTATACAACAGTATTTGAAACGATTGTATTTAAAATAATGTTTTAACATTTTTTAAAATGACATGATTTTTCAGTTTTCAGTAGCTATGGTGAAAAAATTCCCACATTATTTCTTTTCTTGCAAGGTTTCTCTTTAGCCCTGAGAATAAAGGTCATGCACACATTGTTATACTTTTTATGTAGCTTTTGAAAATGCAAATTTTACGGTACTTGCAGCAAATAATACAGTATTTGAACCATTATATTCAATATAATGTTCTTAATTTTTTTAATTGAATGTTTTGAAGGAACACTTTTGTTAACGACTTTTCGGAAATTTACTTATTTGAAAATTATGCGAAATGTACTAAAATACAAGTGTTGACTCATTGCCGGCCAATTTACTTTAAATTTGGCGCCTTGTTTTTTTAACAGAGCGGTTGATGTTCTTTAAAGGCGTTTCAGAGGGAAGGATTATACATTTTAAACTTGGCGCCTCCGAGATAAACTTTCCCCCCAAAACCGCGCGAATTTATCTCTGTTGATAAAACATTCATTTTTTCGTACAAAGTTCCTTGAAGTCGATTGTCTACTGCTTTCTATTAGTTCGGAGCGTCACCAAAAGATCGCACCAGCGCCTGGGCAGCCCGCGTAAAATCGGCTTTGTCGCTATACTTGGAATCACCGATTTTCTAGGTAAGACGCCTGCTCGCATTGTCACCACAAGCTAATGCCGAAAGCTGAGTAAAAGCGTTTTAAACGTCTTCAAGGTTCGATCCAGGGTGTGCCAGGCAATGGATGCAGTAAAAACACGAAGCAAAAACGACGGAATTCGTAAGAAAAGTGTTAATTTCGTTTGGACAGAGGTAACTGTGACAACTTCTTCAATACTCGTCAATTCTTTCTCCAAGTAACATTCTTTGTCAATTGTGTGTTGTCTCTTTTCCAGAACACTCTTCTCTGACAAAAACTACTGAGATAGAAGAGGCGATGTTCCGTTGCAGTTTCAATTAAAATGCTCTCCCAACTTTTCTTCGACTATTTCGCCGCCTGACCAACAAGTATTTTGAAATAAATCTATTAAAAATCATTTGAGGTAAAAATAAGGAAGAATAGAATTCACTAAAGAAAATTCCTTGTATCAGTAATGATGGTATAGAATAGTTTCAATAGGAATTTTGAAAATGTTTAAAAATTTAGAGGAAGAGGATTCACTCGTCACATGCACAACAACACTTATCCTTCTCTCAGCACTTTTTATCGATAATTACCTATACTTTTTATAAAGTAAATGGCATTCTTTAGTGATTTAAAAGTGGAGATAAATTGCATTGAAAAACAAATCGCTTGCTTTAATTTTCCAGGTGTGGGACAGGTTTGAAAACAAATTTGTATCTTTGCAATTTTCAAAATTGTAATGATAGTAATGAAAATCAGAATTATATCATATTTCTAAGGATTTTTCAGTTTTTCTCCAAAAAAATTGCAGACTTTCTTCAGACAATTTCGAAAATGAAACTATATTAACTTATCACTAATATTCACAGTCATTGGAATTGCGCTAATATGCCTTAATTCTGACGTGTATGCAAAGATACTGCTCGAAAGGACTTTTAACATGGATTTTACGCGTACTGTCGAAAATTCGAAAGCGTATTGTTATGGTGGGTCAAATAATTAAAAATAAAAAATTCCAAAAAATAAAAGTAATTTTTAAACAATCTTTTAAAAGTAATGTCAGTTTCGTACAAAGTACCCCCCCCAAACAAATACGGTTTAAATTTGCCGAGCCGCGAGATATTTCAAAATCATTAGATCAATTTTGGAAACCCCACTCGAGAATCTATTTCGGAAACCTCACTTGTTCGGTTGTTTGCACTATTTAATTAAACAGTTCATTCCCTAGTTGATAAAATAAGATTATTTAGTGTAAAATAGAAGCTGAGCATAACTAATTTTACAGTACAGCATACAAAAATAATAACAAAAATGTTCTAACGAGAACATTTTTTTCTAACATTTTTCAATACATCACATTTTCTTTCTAACATATTCCTCAAATCATGGAATGGTGTTATACTGGATATAAAGGACCCGTGCAATATCGTTTACACCACGCTAAGTAAAAATTTAAAACAATATTAATATACTAGAAATGGAGTAAAATGATATTACTTGAGAGTCGTATCAAATCTTCTTTCCTCTTAAACTAGCAGCTCTTGCCGCCACTGAACCACACTGCTGAATCACATTGATGTGAAAATGACATTTGTAATTGTATATAGTTTTCAAGGAGAGTTGAATTTCTGTCATAAGTTCTTTTTATTTATAACATTCTTTAAAATGAATTACAGCAGTGGTATTTGTGTGTGGTATTTACTGTTGAATCTGCATTTTGGTAAGATAAATAAATTTTTGGAGTAGTGATTTTTGTATTTTAAAAATTTTTATTTTGGTATATGAATGGGTGAAAACCACAACGGTATAATCCACATTTTATAAATTCTGAGAAATAATAATTATTTTTGGTTATATTTCCGTTGCAATGTATTTTTGTGGTTTTAATGATGAAACTCTACGAGCAAAGACACCACGACTTTACAGTGAAATTGACTTAAATATTCTGATTTGTCAGAATTTATAAAAGTCACTTACACCGTTCTTGTTTTCGCCCATTCATATGATATGTTTAACTTTGATTTGTACAGTTTGTGCAATTTTGATTTTGTTGCTTCTTGAGACATATTTAGTTTTAAAAACCGTCCTGTCCTTCCCTTCCATGATATTTAGGATGTCTTTTACCGACATTCTTTCTAGCAATCTTTGTTTCAGCTGTGAATTGTGTAATGCTTCCTTGGGAGCACTAGGAACTCAGTTATAGAAGGTTTGCTGCCTTGAGGCCACGTAGCAGGATGCTGAGGTATTTCGAGAACAATGGAGGATCAGATAATTTTGCCCAGAGAAGTTCTTTAGGAGTCGTGTTGTTTTACATGTCATTAATCTGTGACACTGTGTTTCCGAAGGAACCTATAGGACGAATATTCACGCTTAGGTAGGTTCAAACTCGATCAGATTGATAGAGGTGAACTTAGAAAAGGCTAGTTACACTATTTGTTTCAGCACCGAAGGCGCTTGGAAAGTGAAGATAATTGAAAATGTTTATTTTAATTTACATGAATACTCATATTTATGCCCTTATATAAATTATTTCATTAGTTTTATCGGCAATACCACTTATTGTTTCAATTTATAAAATCAGTTCTCCTCACATATAAGGTCATAAATTCATTGTAATATAGTTACATTATTCATACTTATTTCAATTATATATTACAACATAATCTGGAAACTTCTGAACAAAAAGGAGAATGAGTACTTCACACTGGTTATATGACTAAAAATTAACAATCCAACTTCGGGTTCAATGTGAAGCCCTGTTTTAATTCCACCAAAACCTTTTCGAAAAAAATGAATTAAAATATGATTATACTTCTATTTTTCATATCATGATGTGTTATTCATACAGTCGAAATAACTCCCCATTGAATAATTTTTTTGAGATAAAAATTTATATTCAAAAACTTTGAAATTTAAACAAAAGATCCAGATCACTTCAAATTTAAGAACTTTATTATGATAATAACAATGCCAATGTGATTACATGAAGTAGTTAACTTCCGTGGCTAGAGTCATGCAAATGATCTTGGCTGTCCGGGTGACTACAGAGCAGCCCTGAGGAAGCCCACGACAAGATGGTCGAAACGTCGGCACTTCAGTCTTCAACATGGCAACAGTCGGATGGCCAGGATCATTTGAATGTGATTACATATTAGTAAGGAAGCAGAATCTTTCTCCCTACAGGTTGAATTGCATAAGAATTATGATGTAACTAGCTATCCCTTGCAACATGGAGCATGCCAAGGATAAATCCATGGTGAACATTCCGCATACCACAAACTTTAAATCCTGTTCTCGGGTCTGCACTTGCACAACAAAATGACGCAACTCTCTGGCATCTAGTGTTGCTCTGTGTGCGGAGGCGGTCTCCACTGCCACTTGCAAATCCAGCAGGATGCGTAAGGTTCGGTGAGATTCTCTTGCTTGCCAAGAACTCGACATCATCATTGCTGCAATCTGTCAGTGTAAGCAAAATGCAGACAACAATTGTACAAAGAAAAATGGAGATAAATATTCTGAAGTAAGAAATACTGTAAGCCTATAGCAAACAAATGCTAATAACTAAAATCGGTCTAAGGTTTTAAGCATTTATCAATGATTTAACACACGAGTATCGTATGATGAAACCACCTCATTGTTTGTATGCTTGCAGTCGCAAAAGGAAGTAGTAGTGCTACATAATGACACACACCATTTCATACCATGTATGCTGGTTTCTCAGCATTTTTTAATTTATAGCATCAACAGGTAGGTTGTTAGCAACTAAATAAATACAGAGTTGCTTAATCTTAGCCTGAAAATTGTTTTTCGTTCCTCCCTCTATTCTTAGATGCCATTTCTTGGCGCCATCAAGACATTTTTACATACTATCAGTTTGTTTTCCCCTAATGGCAGGTTTTAAGTATGTCTTTAGAAATGTAGTAGAAGAATAAAAGTTGTTGCTGCATGTTTAATTTGATTGAATATTTTGGTACTGTTGTCGAGGAAATGTCGTTTAAATGTTTCTTAAATTAGCAAATTGAGCCCATTTTCACAGAAAACTTTTCAGTTTTTGAAAAACTTGAAACTAATTTGACGCTTTTATATTTATGAATACAAAAATTTAAAAATACCCGTTATATAAATATTTACTGCGTGAGAAATATTTAAAAAATACATTTGGGTAATTTTTTACAAATTAAAAGAAAAAATGAGAATACTGTTAATGCCATGTAACTCAATGCATTTATTGCATTGAATGCATTTATTCAAAGAAATTGTTTTAAATATTGCCCATAAATCACTCAATATGTATATTGAATAATGTATAGGGTCGAAAAAATTTAAATGTGTAATTTTCGAAATTTCAGAAGTAATATTAAAACCAGAAATATGCCACCTTTTGTGTTTTGCTCCAATCTTAAAAGAAATTGAAAGAAAAAAATGGAAGCCGGTTTTGAGATAGTTTAGATCAACCAGAGAATATTCACTGTGGTTAAATATGACGCTAGTGCGTAGAAACTAAAGTTGCTCACTCACGAGACGAACTGATAGATGGACGGAGAGACGGTCGGACAGATGTTTAAAAAACTTTTTCGGTTTCGGGTGACACAAAAACGTATATTTAAAAAAAAACTGAAATAGATTTTCAGCAGAATATCATAATATCCTTTATACACCGTATATAGTTACGTATACGAGATAGTGAAAATTCCACATAAAACGCTCGTATGCAAAAGATGTCTTGATAGTTACCCGTAACATACATTAAATTAAAGAACCGACAATTATATTTATAGCAAAATATCACGTAATACTGAACGATAAGACGAGGCAGCAACCGCAAAAGAAGAGGTTTTATTTAAAATCCTTTGAAGAAACTGAATGTTTCTATATTATGACTAGGCTTTTGTACTAAAGCCAAACAAGCAACGCAATTCACAATTTCATACAATTATTTTTCATTAATTAATGGTTCTAAGTTACAACACTTAGCATACCCATTATCTATTAAAGTTTTAATTTTCATCGTTATTTGAAATATGAAGTCTTTGATTTTACTAGGTGCCAATTAAAAAAGTTTGCATTATATGAACACATCAGAATGAGGGTGGTTGGCGTTAATTGATTGGGGACTGGCGAGGACGGCGACGGTTACGTTGTCACAGCAGCAACACGATTTTTGTGCTTAGAGTTCCGTGCATTTTTTCTCTCTTCTAAGTGTCTGTGTCGCGACGCTAAGATTTTTTGTGTCTCTTCTCAGTTCTCAACTCAACGCAGGTACGAATGCGTCAGTGGAGAGCACATTATTTGAACTGTGCACGTGGAAAATTTCAAAAAGTCGTTTTTTCAAAAACGAAAAATGTCGAGGGTGAAAAATTATTGCTCGATTCAATTAAACTTAACAATCTATAATTTTCTGTCGATATAATTAAAGAAACCTTCTTTGTGATTAGTCTCATAAGGTCCAACAATTTGTGAGAGTCCTATCTATCTTTCTGCACCTATTTAGAACACTTTCCGTTTAAAATAGTATATTTCAATGTTTTTACACTATAGGGAAAACAATCTCATTGGTACTTCACATCTCATTACTATTACCAGAATTGTAATTTAATTGTAATGCGATTTCAATTAATAAACACCCTATTTTGGTGACAAAAATAAAAAAAGGAAAATATTTAACATGAAGAGATTTCCTCAGAGAAGTACACATATTTTTAGTTGTAAAATGTAGTAAATCTAAAACCGAAGTTGATTACTAAATTAAAAAGTAACCAAACGAAATTTAAAACTACGTGGTGATCAATAAAATTACCAATTTTATATATTTTCATTAAAAATTATTGAAGACTTCTTATTATTATACGAGGCCTGTTTACAAAATACGCAGAATATTATCATAAAATAAAATGTTTTTTATTTATAAGTTACATGTCTGGGTCCCTTTCAAAGTACTCTCCTCCCCAAAACACACACTCATCCCAACGTTGTTTCCACTTGTAACAATCAGGTATGCTTCTTTTGTAACGACCTTCAGCTCTTTCATCGCATTTGTCATAATCTCAGGAATCGTCTCAAATACTCTTCCTTCCAAGGATCTTTTTCATTTGGGGAAAAATTAAAGCCACTAGGGGTAAAGTCAGGTGAGAAGGGAGAGTGTGCAAAAAGAGTGATCGAGTGTTTGGCCCAAAACTCACGATTTCTCAGGGTTGAATGGGTTGGAGCGTTGTCATGATGGGAAAACCAGACGCTATTACTCTACATTTCTGGCCATTGGTAATAGATGGGGCTCCTTAGACATTTCAGAACTTCAGTGTAGTAGTTTTGATTCACTGTGGAGCTTTGGGGGAGATACTAGCGGTGAACAACACCCTTAGCAAAAAAAACTGTCTGCATCACCATCAGCTTGCACCAAACGTGGCGAGCATTTTTGGGTCTGGGGGACGTTTTGCCAATCCACTTCGGCGATTGGATATTAGTTTCAGTGTCGATACCATGAACCCAAGATTCATCACCTGTTATGATCTTTGACAAGTAGCTTATATCTTCTCCTAAAAGATCAAGCAATGCCAGACAAAACTGGGCACGATGTACGTTTTGTTAATCCGTCATCTGGCGTGGCACACAGTTCGCAGCATTGTAACGCTTCATCAGTTTCTCAGTCAAAATCTCGCGATCCAACAGATATTCCACACTCTTCTACATGCTCTTTGGCAGTCAGAATTCAATTTGTGTATTCAATTTGTGTGCACCATGGTATTGATTTTGTCGACGTGGAGGTCGTTAGTTGACGTGGAAAGACGTCCAGAACGCTCATCTTCTTCAATGGACTGTCGACCATCTTGAAAAAGTTCACGCTACTTGAAACATGCCGTAATCTTCACAGCCACATCACCGTAGCCATCTTAATCATAATAAAAGTTTATGTTGCAGAGTTTTCCAGTTTGACACAAAATTTCACAGCTAGTCGTTGCTCTTTCAATTCATTCATTTTGAAATCCACCAAACAAAAAAATGCACTGAACTAAAAACCACGTTGGTAATAAACAAATGAAGATGGTAGTAATAAACAATGGGGAAATGGCTTCTTAATCAGAAAATCTGTACAAACTTACTGAAATCAAGCGGATTCCCGTAGAATCAACTGAAACCGCGCTATTCAAACAGTCCGCGTATTTTTTGAACAGACTATGTATTATATTACCCCGATGAAATTCTTACATTTAAGCTTCAAGGGAATCCATTTGAGAAAGTTTAACAGAAGTTGAGACATTTCAGGTATAAAGAAACACACCGTCACACAGGTCAGAAACGCTTCATTTATGAACAGCAGGGTTTTGATGATTTTTCTTATTTTACATATATTGTTAAAAATGTTTTTAAAGTGAATCGAAACTCTGAAAATACATCAAAGTAATGTCGAAGAAATATCTCCTTTTTTGGAAATAACATAAAAAGAAATAAGTGTTGACAAAAAATTGTTGACTTGTGGAATTAGGGCACAAGTGGCTTTGTGACGGCGTCCGACGTCACCATCTGGCCTTCAGTAGTGCAGTGCACTCGCTGTGCGGAATATCCTAAATGACATCCCGAGTCTTTAACAGCGCTTCTGGTCTTGGAAACGCGCAGTGTTTCGGATAAATACAGGCTGTCACTTGAAAAACTACAAAAATCGCTTTCCATGTGTATGTGATAGTAACATCATATAGAAGGAGAAACTATTATTGTTACAATTCTGTGGTACATGCTAGAGTGTTATCCACTTGAAATTACTCACATTATATATTACATACCTGAATAAACCAGACGAAAATCCAAATAAATAGCATTGCTGACATCCACGATGTCAGCATTTCAGTATCATTCTTAAGTACAAAATTAATACTGATAAAAATATAACTTGTTAAGTAGGTGAAGATGGAGACGACGGCGCAAAGCACATGCTCCTCCAAAGCAGCGTTCAGTTTTCCAGTTCCGACACAAAGTGTCAAATGCACATTCCGCAGCTGCTGTAGGGTATAAGTAGATCTTCGTCTGTTTTCTGCCTTTTCAAATGACAGTTCCTGTAAAAACTCGTTGAGCATCCGAAAACGCGATTTAATTATCATCATTAGAATAACGAACTCCAGGCAAATTGTCGGTGTAACTGACCCTACATAGGTCAACATAAAGAGTCCTAAAACTGTGCCGAGGAAAGAACTAGTGTAAACGTATGATTCCAAAGAAAAAAGTAAAACAAAGAATAACATAAACGAGCCCGTAATTACTGTCAACAATATTTTCCATTTTCTGTAAAATATTTTCGTGTTTTTTACCAGATATTTGTCTGCTTTATCTATCATTAATATGAAATGGTTAATGTTGTTTCTGTGTTTCATTGTGACGGTTACCGACACTGATACCATATTGGAAATGAGCGTAAATATCCAAGATAATTTGGCCGCGAATAATATGAATATGTCCCTATCATTAAAAATGTTATCGACACAATAATAAAACATTACATAACATATTGCGCACTGAATGAACGCACATGTAGTGATATGTATGAAAGATAATGTGTGTAATCTGGATACTGTAGAACCCTTTTCAAATAATAATCCAGTTAGAGCCTGAAATTTGACAAGATAATACAAGGGTTTCAATGAATGAAGAAAATTGTTGGCGTCAAAATCAAACATTCTCAGTTTCCGCGAGTCCATATTTATAAAAAACAGAAGTTTTTATCAGGTATCAAATACATTAATATAAAAAAGTGTATATTGTATCTCGAAGTTAAACCCTTGCACACAATTAAGAAGCGTATTTCAGTACTAAATATGAAAATCAATATTTTCACTGAACTTCCTGCTTTGCTTATAGCATATTATGCATTTCACTGACAGTTTCTAATGTCTTATGCCAAAATTCATTTACATTTTCATCGTAGTAAAGAAGCCAAGAACTTACGCTATCACCTTTCATTTACTTATGGTTTCTTAGATATAAAAAAATGCTATTAGGTATATTTGCGTAACTTGTAGGCAATACACAAAACATAACACATCTCTAACGTAAAGAGAAATATAGTGTAGATTCAGGAGATATATTTTCACTTTCAAAAAGAGGATCAATATTGCCTGAGAAATTAAATGGCCATTCCTTAATTGATGACCAATCTGCCTAATTCCGTTTTAAGTAAATGAATAAACGTGATCCTCGTACAAATGAATGCTTTTTATAAAATTAAAAAGAAGGTCAAATGAATTCTGTCAGTAAGTTAACAGAACGGTAGTATATATAATATCAAAATTGTCGGTTCGAAGTGAAATGTTATATAACCAAGTATGACAAGTAATCAATAAGTGCGAAAACAAAATTGCTATCTATTTTGCCATACCTTTGTAAGAACAGACCAACTGACGTTATTATTTCAATCTAATTTTACAAAAAAAATGCTTAGGCAGTATTTATTTCAATGTAATAAAATATTGTTTCTTACGTTGGGCATTTGTAATCTTCTCCAAATACTCACCAGAGGTCAAAAAATCAAATTATCTAATTTTCTTATATTGAAAATCTGATTTTATGTCAAATTGTATTACTCACATTGTCAAAACCATTTGTCAGACTTACTTTATATTGAAATGTCATAAGGTAAATAAATCACAGATGAAAGAAAAACGAAAATAGATTTTATGGAAGTCCGAGTTATTCAAGCTACTCGCAGGAATTATTACCTTCAAATTTAACAACTTAATAATCCTATATACAATAACATTGCAATAACACATTCGAAATTAACATCATAAATAATTTTTACTGTTACAGTTTTCAAGTTCAATTTTCTTTCAAACATTTTCTCCCGACATTTTATCACATATTGTGACGAGTCTTGACCCTATCACTGCAATTCATGTGCGTGTACGCAATTTGTACAAAGAAACTATCTTCAAATGTGGCACAGGGCATGAACAGATGTCACTGCAGTGCTTCTTACCGGGATGTTCTAAGGTTCGAGTCCGAACAGTGGCAGAATTTCGACACTTTTCGACGCCAAATCGGAATCAGCCGCTTTCTGGATATGAATTCTAGTGGCCAGCAGCTCTAATAAGTAGTTTTCCGTGTTTTTTCCGCTCAACACCAGCCGAATGCCGGAGTAGTACACTAATAAACGGCCCATGGATCGCGCGAGATATTTCCTTCTTCATCCTTGTTGTAAGCTCCTCCCTTACCTACACATACACAGGAATTACATGCACTGTACTATCACACTAGCAGGAAGACCGGTCGGGAGCTCATAGCCTGTCCAGGCTGGGGCGGTGCCCCACTGGAGGGAGATACCTGGTTGGGCATCCTACCCAAGCACCCTACCTCTTGTACCACAATACACGAACCTAAACACGATATCGAATAATAAACTGCCGTAACGGGTTCCGGACATCATCTGATGACACAGCCGAGCCTCCAACCGGGGGAGTCCCGCTGGAAGCAGGAGTTTTGACAGTACTTAGGTAGCTGCGTCGTGATTAGGCGGTGTCCGGAGGTGAAGTCTAACGGTCTTCTGCTCTGATTGGTTGTTTTCTGTTATTTCTATGATCACTATCAGGTGAATGCTGGAAGAGTACCCTAACAAACGAGCTACTGACCTCGCGTGATCTTTCGTATATCTTTCTTGTCCTATCTTCACCATTTACTGACACATGCACTCCATTGCCACACATGCTGGGAGACTAGTGAGGAGCAAAAATCTTGTTTCGGCTGGGGCGTTGTCGCGCTGGTGGGAGATACCGTGTTGCGGAAAAACTTTCTATCCGACCTGTATGTTAGCGCCGGATCTCACCATCCAGCTGAGAAGAACACTTCTCGCTTGCTAAAAAACTTGCTCCGCACTTACGGAGCTAATGACCAAAGGGGTTGAAGCGCTTGGAAACACGAAATAATTAATCAACCAATCGAATAATGAATAATGAACGCAGAGTGATATTATCATACCTCAAGTATTTGAATTCATTAATGACAGTGCGTGTATGAAGTTTTGATAACAAGGCTTTTGAGTTTTATACTGCTTTGAATCTGTACTCAAGGCAAATCGCAGTGCGGTAAAGGTCGTCCCAAAATTGCCCCAGATATTTATATTGGTTTATATTGTGTATCGCCACTTCCAAAACCATAAACGTTGGACCCATTTTATTGTCTGGACACTGGTAATCAGAATACTTGTTCATAACATTATCCATCATAAAATTCCGTTTGTTTTCCAAATGACCTTTATATACAACCTAATGCCAAACCTAGTTAAAAGCATTCAGCATTGTATTCAGAATAATGACTACTACACATTAATGAATAAAATTAGAAACTCTAAGAACAGAAATGAGGACCATCAGTGCAGCAAAGGATAAATAAGTTAAGTTTACACGAACAAGTATTTACTATGGATCATTTGTATAATTACCAACACCTTTTCTTATTAAAACATACACATCGTACTAAATTTATGTTTTACAATCAATTTTTCCCCTATAGTCTAACATAGGGATTTTAAATGGTTTTGCAGCATAAGGGAGATCAGCATTTAAATTACAATGTGTTATTACCATCCCTGATTTTCTGTAATTCAGTATCTTCGGTTTCATTGTCCTGTTTGGAAGTTCTAAAGAAGGTTGCCAATTTCATTAGTTTCATTTTCAAGATTTGGCTTTAAGTGTGATTTTAATGACATCCGAAACTTACGAATGTTAAGTAGAATATATTTTGAGTTAATAATCTTCTACTAGGTATGTTGTAGAATATTTTCATCTGGTAGTTCGATTAAGAAACACCCGCTCTTGATCTCATTTTGAAAATATTTTCCTGCAATTGCTAACGTAGGCAGTCTCTTACAGATTCATTGTTACGAGTTGAAGTTCTCCATCGTCATTGTTGTGTTTCGTCGCCTCAAGATGAAAAACGTTAGACGTCGCCTCAAGACGAAAATACCTTAATGATATTGAAATTGTAGTCAGTCAAACGCAATGTTACAATGTACAGTAGCAGCTATTGAATATTCAGGAGGAAAGTTATATTCTGTCTTCGTCCATGGTAACTGAACCACCTTTTCTACCAGCATTGCTTTTAAGCTTCTTTGGCAGCTTCTGTTGAAGAGACAGTTCAGTTCTCGTTGATCATTTTCCTTATAATTTACTGTGGCGTAAGTTTCCTCTTCTCTCTGACATTCTTTCTTCTGATGATAGTGCCTATGCCTAACGGTCATATCTGCAATGAATAAATGATTCGATGTGTCGGTAATTACAGAGAAACGACATAAGTTACATAATACTGAAATCAGGGGTAGAGAAAACGGGAGAACCCTGAGAAAACTTCCTTCAAAACCGTTTTGTCCACAGCGAATTCCAGATCCATCGACCGTGCTGTGAAACCCGAACCCATGAACAGAAGGCGAGTGGGCTGACTCTTAAACCACGCGTCTCCTTTCCACGCGTCTGTTACGAAAGTCTAAGGTACAGACGTCATCGTCTACGTAAAGTGCGGCGTCGTGGTTTCTTCCAAATCGGAAGGACTACTTCTACGTTTCGCACCCCTACGTCACTCTACTACGTCACCGTCCAATTATCGCACCTTCGCATAAGGCGCCGACGTCGTCGCCCCCCCCTCCTTTCGCCGCCCCTGCCGTCGCCTGCGTTATAAAAGCGCGGAGCGACGCGTCAAATCGCGGCGGGAGGATTTAAAGCAAACTCAATTTGGTTTGTAAATATTTGCCCCTCCCCCCGTCCCCACGCTGCAGTCTCCGGCTACCGCCTCCCGCTGGCTTTTTTTAATAATCGCTCTTTCTAATGCCTCTCGTTCAGACGTGTGGCAGAGTTAATGGCGCACGGGGTGAAGAAAGTTCGGGATGGAGACACTGCCGAAGATGAGAACGAGCAGGAATTAAAAAAATGGTCTTACGTATATGACAAGGCTGGAAGCAGAGGATGTCACTCAAGATCTCTAAAAGAGGACGTTTTCTTCTGTTTTATTTGTTCTCTTATTTAAAAATGTCATATTGAAATTTCATCTCTCGTCTTTTAATCACTAGTAAGAAAGTGCAGTTCAATGATAATAAACACACAGGTTCACAGGTAATAGAGAATGTTATGTGAAATGCCACGATACGAAAGAACGTAATGGAAGAAGCAACAAATATAATGTTTTAATTTGATGAAATCAATTTAAAAGTGCATAACATTATTGTTTACCTTGCTGAGAAATTAAGATATTACGCTATTCCTCTCTGGATTTTTTCTTAGTCATTAGTCTCTTAAATGACTTTACTACTAAACGGATAAGCGATAAGCTTACGAAATTCTTTACAGGAATCTTCTCAAATCCTGCATAATATTTTTGATTCTTGAAAGATATAGTCAAACATATATAATTAACGTTGTATGAAGAATGACGTAGTTTTGGTACCAGCTTAAGAAGTGGGGTAATACGGAGTTCCTTCGGGATGAACATTTTAAAGACAAGCTGCCTCCATCGGGTTATTCAGTCGAGACAGATTTCATATCTAGACCCTACAGCAAATGGAGGCACCATATTGCATGATTGTTTCTCATTATCTTTCTGGTCCCATTATTAGGGGCAAATGATGGGCTAATTCCTTCGCCCTACGGCATATCTCACTGATGGAAAAAAGTCTACTACCGACATATGACATTTGGAATCAGAGGATAGCTATAAGATATCCTCTAAAACATTTGACAAACTTTTCAAAAGTAAATTAATACCCATACGGTTTATTTACCATTGCAGTTTAAGGAAAAATTATAATCTAACAAATACTCTCATGAATCATTCAATACGTACATTAATTTCGTGAAATGTATCTTAAAGAAGGTTGAATGGAGTCAATTGCGACTTGTACATCAGCTTTTTAAAGGCTTCCTATTGATAACATAAAACAATTGCCTATCTACAAACGCATATTGCAATTATGATCAGAATCAGGCAAGCAAATATTCTCCAATGTCTGATAATCAAAGATTGCTACTATTCCGCAAAACGAAGATCAATAAAAGGTGATGTCACGGTTGTGACACGATGTGCACATTAGCAATTATTGTGAACTTCGGAATGTGTCGCAAGAGGAATGATATTGGGTTCCAAAATTAGAATCGTCTGCTTTGATGTAAACGGTAGGGGTTTATCAACTTTCGATATTGGGGAACGGTCATTATTTGAGCAGGAAAATGCCGAAAGAAGTAATAACGAAAGCCGAAGCTTGGTTAAGTGACTTTTCATCATTGTTATGAGTTTATGAAGGGATTGTTCAACAGATAATCAATACTCAAAATAATGCCTCGTACGCGTACCAAATTTTATTTTAGAATATTAATAACGACAATTTATTATTTTAAGAACATCTGAGTGCAAAGTCTTACAGAAAGCCCAATATAATTTTGCTATATGTTGCAATGGTTTGTTCTTCAAATGTAAACTTTGGTTATTATTATTCTTTTACCCTATACTCAGACTGGTTTCTTATATATAAAGAAGCCAGTCTGAGCCAATAATAATAACCACATATAAATATTTATTAGTAAAAATAAATTATTAATGGTACGCAATTAGAGAGTTCGATGTTGTAAGGATATTACGAAACGATTAAATAGGTATGAAAAGGTCATAGTTATGGATAAACCAAATTTTGGGACGATGTGACTAAAATGTTAAAATCGGAAAACACTGATCCACAGTTATAATAATAATAATAATAATAATAATAATAATAATAATAATAATAATAATAAAAATAATAATAAAAATAATAATAATAAAAATAATAATAATAAAAATAATAATAATAAAAATAATAATAATAAAAATAATAATAATAAAAACAATAACAATAAAAATAATAAAAAAATATATATTTGAATATATGTGAATTTGCAAACGTAATATCTTGTCCTCAACCCAATAGTCACTCTTCCATTGAATTCAGTAATGTTAAGTATTTTAAGAACACTTTTCCGGAAATTATTAATTAATTCCCTCCAATCATAATTTCAAAGACAGCAATCAAGAACGCAAGATTTATTAGAAACCGGAAATATGATTTCGACGTACGAAAACATCCGAAATGCAACGACCTTTATAACTTTTAAAAGAGTTTCTATTTTGAACAGTTGAAATAGTATGCTGATATAAATAAGTAGATTTGGTGGCTAACGAGAAAACAACAACCTTTCGCGGCACACGTCATGCTGGCGGTCCTACCTTTGATGAAGTCTACGGCCATCTCCAGCCCGTAGGTGTCCTTGTCGCAGTCGTCGAGGATGTGCGCACCCAGCGTCACGTTGGGGATGAGCGCCGGCTCCGCGTTGAGGACGTCCAGCGTGAAGAGCATGGCCTCGAGCGCCTGCACGCCGCCCTGCGGCATCACCGGGCCGCACGTCACCGACTCCTCGCGCTCGTGCACCATCATCAGCCCGCCCAGGATGAGGTCGCCGGGCAGCTCGGCTGCCATTTTCACCGGCCAGGGCATTTCCGCTGTGCCTGCCACTGCAGTGGTGGTTTCCGTGTCGTTGCGCGGAGACCCGTCCGACGCGCAGGTGGATCCAGCGTCACCACAGGATGTTGCTGGTGAATCGGTAGTCGTCACCGAACTTGCACTGGTGCTCTCGACCCCGCACTCGTCTATCGAGCATTCCGATGTAAGGTCTGTCCGTTCTTCTTGCGATTCCGCACTCACACTCGTCGTCAAAACAGTACTAAGCTCGTCCCTTGGAACGTCGAATCTCGCTTCACTTTTTTCTGAACGTTCGTCGTCACTTTCTTGGCGGTAGCTTTCGGTCGTTTCAACTTGAGGCGATGTAGTTGTGTCGTATAATGGGGCAGTTGGGGAGAAACTCGAAGAGGTGTCAGTTTCTGACGTGGAAACATAATCTCCATCCAGGAATGTTGTATATCTATACTTGGATGGGTCACGAACTGGTTCGGGCTGACGAGTTGCAGGAGGATGTCGTCTTGATCGAAATGGAGTATTCTTTCCAGATTTATCAACTTTCGGGACGTTGTACAAAGCAAGCTTCTGAAATATAGGTAGTTTTTTCGTTGTAGAAACACTGTCTTGGGAAGAAACTAATGAAATCACAGTGGTATTATTGGTTTCCGGTGCAACATCTGACGTAGGAAACTCATCTTCTACTTTCGGCCATTCCGATTCATTACCAACTTCATTTCGTGGTGAAGTGGAGCTGCTGTCTGTTGATACCATTTCAATTACAGGCCATTCCTCCGTTGTGGTGGATTCAAAATTGTCGGTTGTTCCTTTTTCGTCATCATTTCTTTTTGAAGTCGGGCTTACGCTCTCCGTCATCAGCGGCTTCTCACTGTGCTGAGGTCCCTCTGTGGTGTTGACAGCGGAGCGTGGCAGCTGCGTCCTGGATTTCTCAGAAGCCTCGGTGCTGACGTCGACGAGCGCCGCTCTGGTGCCTGCGAGCAACAGGAAGATGAGCAGCCACGGGCGAACTACGACGAGCAGTGTCGCCACGCCCCCTCGTGACGAAGCCATGGAACTCCCACACTGCGACCGCGCCGGCCAAGCACCTGCCACAGAACAAGAACAGTTTGTTAGCAAACGACAGCTGTGTCACATGTTATTTTCAATGCATATAAATTATAAAGTTTAACGCATAATTATTCTGCTTTATGCGTCTGGCTAATGAACATTGTAGTGCTGTACTGGCCCAACAGCCCCTCATGGAACCAAGGGTCGCCAGGGCGGCCTAGCCGCCATGGGTTAAAGGGTTCATGTGGATAGTACATAGAAGTCCCTAATCTATATCATGGTCTTTTCAAGCTAAGAAGTGAACTTTTTCATCGTCACACAGCAACATATTCTGGGACATTGAAAGGAAAGCGCTCACTATAATTTGCCCCGGCCGGGAATCGAACACGGGATTGCGTAATGGAAAGCGTGCTACGTGACTAGTAAGCTACCCGTGCGGGTCTGTTTTATAACTAGACACTAAACGAAATATTTAAGAATTAGCGAGTTTATTTTGCTACCGTCAGTTTGGTGCAAGTCGTTACAGTTAATAATAACCTTATAAAACAAAATATTGCCAAGAAACCATTCAACATCTAAGAAGAACATGCATACAATTTTTATGAGAGTTCATGGATTTATATTGTTAAAAATGTATACTGTTAGAAGGAACGTCATTTTAAAAAACACCTCATTGACACCTAGAGTAGCATTGTTTGTTGTTTGTTATTTCAATTAACAGCATACAATTCATAACGTCTAATACGAAAAGAATCAATACGAGATTAAAATCGGTGAAATAAAGCATAAAAACAACTACAAACAATGCGGAAAGACCTTTTTACACACCACTTGTAAAAATGGTTCTTTCAGGGATCATAGCGTTTCCTTCATTGAACTCATAGCGTGTTAAGTTCAATGTTTAGCACTAATGCAAAAAGCGAGACTCTGCTCAAATATCCACATGAATATGTGAATTCAACAAAGAAAATTAAATACTTTTGTCTGACAGCATCATCTACTACTTCCTTAATGTATCATTAATTTATTACTATACTTGAATTAAAATCAAATGAAATCCATTAAGACTTTCAGAATAGTGTGACACACGTGGTACAAGATGTTTTATTTCTCTCGTAGCATTGCATTACACAGCTTCTCAGCCTCGTGGCGCAATCTTTCCTATTCGCAAAATAAAATGCCACGTTTAGCACTCGTATCATAGTATCGTAACTAATTATTTTGATCGCCCCCGCGTCCTTAAGCTTTCATCGATGTGACGTTATCTGAAGAGGTTTTCGCATAGCTCGGTCTGCGGGAGAGTTTGTTGCGCCCCCTGACGACAGCTCTCACGCCTCCTCCCCCGCAAGTCACGCGGCCGCCAAAGAGCATTCATTACAGAGGCCGCCCGTCCGACTCCGACACAGAGGCAGCAGACACAAAAAAGGCGCGTCCGCGTGACGGCCCCGGGTTTTGACTTTCAAATTCGACAGCGAGAAAGGAGCATCTCGAAACAAATTCCACTCAAGCGGAATACATTTTTGGCCGGTGCCGCTCGAGCCGCATCCCTGCCGCCCCGTTCCCTTTTTGAGTTCCCCTGCCTGGGGGACAGAGCGGAAGCGAAAAGTGAATACATGCAGCTTAAGTAGACTCTGTGTTACGCTCACTCACGACACACTCTGGTGGGCGGTTCGTGAACCTGCTCCGTCATTCTCTGTGACGGATGGTGTTAGTCGCGTAGGTTACTCGAGATAGTTCAGACCCGACTCTAGTCGTAGTTTCTAGTCACCATTGTATGTTTTGTGTGTGCATGAGAAAAAATTTCATTAATTATTATATAGAAAAAAATATCAATATCTTCTTTAACAAATTCACTGCAGAAACAATTATTACTACAAACGAAATTTAATAGCATATAAATACAAAATTCGCATTTTTTTCTAAACAGTTCTTAATTTGGACTTGAATGAATGAGTAATGAAATTAATTAATTTTTTCATCATAATTTTTACAATTTTATTTGACTGACTTTCTTCTATATAAAATACATACTGCTTGGCAGATATTTCTAGTCAACACAATGGAATTGTCTAGAAATATTCATGAATTTCGAAAATATGGTTTAAATAAAATTTCACTCACATATACTGTGATACTTTATAATATACTGTGATACTTTGTGTGATTTTTATTAATAGTCTAAATCTATGCTGTTTGAATTTTTTGTTTAACGAAAACGAATAGTGTACAATTAGAACTGTTAAGGGAACGCACGAGGATATGAAAACGATTCTTTCTGGTATTGGAAATTCTATACTGTAAAGATGATTTGCAGTTTAATAATGTTTTCCGCGTGTGCGAAACAATTGGAACAGAATGGATGAATGCCGTTTTCAAACGCATGCAATATTATCGCATAACAAACGCATTGCCACTAGAAATTCACAGCAAAACGTACTACTACGCATTGAAAAGAGGCAATGTATGACATAGATGATAACTTGTCCTACAATGTGTGTATGAACAATGCTTTTACGATCAGAAAGACATAGTTATAAATAACAACACAATAGTTATTCAAGAGACGGCTTACTGAATGAAAGAACTTCAAAAAGAGGATTTTCGTTTGTATTGCATTGCGATTTATTGTTCAATGAGTTCGTTCAGTTAAATTCCGCATTTTCAATTATACTGCATCATTAATATGTCTAATTTTACAACATGTTAATTTTATAATTTAATTATTTTGATAATTAAGAACAGTTTCCTTATTTTATTAAAAAAAGTTGACAATACAAAAATTTCCTTAACATTTTCTGCTTAATGGGGATGTACAATGGCAAAGTAATATTGTTTTTATTTTCGAAAGTTAAGCACTCTGTCAAGATAGTGTTGTCTAACAATTACCACCTCACTCACGTCAATTTTAATTGATCAAAAGTTTCATTGATTAGTGATTCCGGACGCGTCAACTGCTAAGGTCATTAGTCCCGAGGGCGTAGTGCATGTTTCTTCCTCGAGAGATTGCTGTAATTTTCCCCTGCTGGATAGTGAGATATAGCTGGACACCGGTCAGCTAGCGGGGTTTTCCCCAATCAGGTATCTCCCACCAGCAGGGCATTGTCCCAGCCGGCACAAGTTCTATGCGCACGGCCATTTTCCTGGCATGTGTGGTTGTGAAGTGAAAGTGTAATTGTGCGTAAGTAAGGGATGGGAAGAGGACAAGTAAGAGGGAGGTAAGATCGGTCGTGGTCCGTGGCCAGTTTGTTAGGGCACTGCTCCGGCATTGAATTGAATTGAATTGAATTGAATTTGCCTTATTTTACGTGGCGAGACTCGGGCAATCAGGCCCGCTTTTCCGTCTGACCACACAAATTTCGCTACACTCCTTTCATCAACTAGCAGAGAAAGGAGGTATTTCTTGGGCGAGAAACAGGCGATTTGAATTTAGCTCAGAGGCGTCATTTAGGCTTGAGGATCTTTTACATGCAAGTAAATCTACTAACATGGGACAGCCGGCTTTACTTCCCCTCCGAAGGAAGGCGTACGAAGGATTTTGTCGCCCTAAAAATCCACGGCTTCGATTGGCTTTGAACCCGCAAGCTTGGGTATAATAGTCCGGTACGCTAACCGTCACGTCATCGCCTGCCGATGATACCAAAAATACAAAAACTACAATTCAGAGCAGCCGGTGGTTAGAAGTATCCTCCAGACAACGACTGAATTCGACGTAGCTATCTAGTTAGTGTCGAAAATTCTGCCACCGTCGGAATCGGACTTAAAACATCCCGTTCAGAGGCACAACAGAAATATCAGTTGATGCTCTGAACCACCTTAAGTGGCTCTAAACTAGAAGCAGTAACCCGTAACCACCGTAAACTGTTAACCTAGATGACCATTTAGTGTCCATGTCCCTTGTATAAATTAACCTGTAAAATAAATTCGATTGAACCATAAATAAAATTAATATTAAAACTTTGAAAATGTTTTCTGCTTCAGTCATTACAACTCACCAGTCATTAATAATTAACTTATGTAATCAATTTCGTTGTAATAAAAACATGGAAGTTCGTGTTTTTTTAAAGCGAAACTTAATCAAATAACTGGCCATCACAAAATATCTGACCAGTAAATATCTTATATTACTTCTATTATGAAATACGTCGTGTCTGATTTGAACCCACATGGAATTAAATTTTAGACAATATCTGAATAGAATTAAAAAGAAAGAAATTAAGTAGCTATGCTCCTCATACCTATTCTGAATTTCATTCCATGACGATTGACCTGCGTACGAAAGTATTTCTCAATAACCTCACCTTCGTTCTTATTTTTTGAGTGATTTCCAGTGCTTTATTAATGCGATACAGTGCAGTGGAACCCCGTTTTGTGTATTGTCGTGGGAAATGTCGTGCGAAATGTAATAGTATTTTGCTATTTTTATATTATTATTATTACTATTATTATTATCAGCATAATTATATTAATATTCTTGTATTTTATAAGTCACTCTCATCGAGTTGTACGCGATTGGTTTTATATACATCTTATCAACTGCTAAAGTGTCACGCAAAACTCAACTCTTCAATAGCACAAAAATCTACACGATCTAATTTCGAGAATTCAGCAGTTTGGGAGGTTCCAAACAATTAATGCATCTTATAGTTTAATCTACCAGTCCAAGAGGACGTCATGCAGTCTCAACAGTTCCCACATAATTAACGTAATGATTTAGTAAGAGACATAGATCTTTCTGAGGCTGCTGCTCAAATCCTGAAATCAACACTAAAAGAAAAGAACCTCTTAGCTCTAAGAACATCATTTGAATCGTATAGACTCCGTGAAAAGCAACTTCCTCCGTACTTCTGTCAATAAGAGAATCCTACACATTGTCATGATATTTCTAGTTTAGTGAATTCTTTGGGAGCTGAAAAATACATTAGAAGTGATGGAAGACTTTTTATGACTTTTTAAAAGTGAGTATGAAAGCTGTTTTTTTTATAATGGGAACAAATATTTGTCAGTTCCAATTGCATATTTATTTCTTCTCAAGGAAACACAAGAGTCTAAATGGCAGGTGAGTGGAGATCTTACAGTTATCAGCATGC